GGAGCCCAGGTACTTGGGTCATCCTCTACTGCCTCCCCTCCTGTGCATTGGCAGGGAACTGAATTTGAAGCAGAGTAGTCGGGACTCGAACTGGCAACTGGGACGTGAGTATCCTAGTGGAAGCTTAATCCACTGTGCTGCAACACCAACCCATAGAGTAAAAATCTTTTAAAACTCCATCCTTGCTTAAGTGAGAAGATTTCATTTGCTGCTAACTTTCAAGAGGCAAAAAGAGAGAGCTTGGGATCTTGGAAGTGTGTAGACTAAAGTGAGCAGACGCCACCTCTAGGTGGCAGATGCAGACCTATCCCCCCCCCCCCCCCCCCCAGCAAACCATAGGCTGACTAGGTGATGCCCAAGGTTCCTGCTAAACAAAAGAACCTCTTTTTAATAAATGCTAACAGTAGAGGCAACACTTAGTAGTTTTTACTAAGTGTGAGCTACTGATGCTAAAGGTTCTCATTTAATACTTTTTTCATTATCATGGAATATCTGCACTGTTCTATGGGGCATAGTGTCATATTTCAACACAACTGTATAGTGTAAACTAATCAGATTGAGTCATTAGCTCTTTTCAGTTCCTTATTTTTTATTTATTTGTTTTTTAAATGCTTGGAGTGTATGAGCACCCTTCTTCCAGATCTTCCTGCCGTGTATAATAAAGGGGCTCCAAAAAGTTCACAGGAAATTTTCACTATCTTTTAACTGCATTTTCCGTACACATTTTGCAGCTCCCTCATACATTATGGTGAACTATATTTGCTCCACTATGCTATGGAGCACTAGAACTCATTTCTACAAAATTGCATTTTGGTACCCGTCTTCCAACCTATCTCTATCCCTTCTTTCCCTCCTCCTTCCCAGCCTCCATAACAACTGTTTTATGTTGACTTTTTTTTTCTAAAGCTTCCATGTATGAGACAGAAGATGCAGTATTTTTGTGTCTGACTTATTTTACTTAACAATGTCTTCCAGTTCATTCATTTTGCTTCAAATGACAGGCTTTTGTTCTTTCTATGGCTGAATACTACTCTATTGTGTATACATTCATTTTCTTCACCCACCCATCCATCCATCCATAGATACCTAGATTGATTCTACACATTGGTTATCGTGAATAGTGCTCAAATGACCATGGGAGTACTGGTATCTTTTTCACATGCTGGTTCCATTTCCTCGTGATACATACCCAGAAGTGTGATAGCTGGGTCATAAATAAGTTTTAGTTTTAGTTTCTTGAGGAATCTCCATATTGTTCTCCACAATTGCTCCACTAATTTGCATTCCTACCAACAGTGTATTATTAGGATTCTTTTTCCTACTTCTTTGCCTGCATTGTTTTCTTTTTAATAATAGTCATTCTAACAAGAGTGAGATTATATCTCATTGTAAATAGCACATTTCTTTTACCAAGTCAAAGTCCAACACTGGTTCTTGTTGTGTCTGCAGTATTGTGTGAGAGCAATGTCCCAAATGGCTCAGGTGCTACAATGTCAGAGACTTTATGGATACTCAGTGTAGTTTATGAATCACTCTTTGTATCTTACTGCATCTCTTTGAAAATTGGCAAGCCTTCTCTCAAATAGATATACAGTAAATCAGAATAACATCAATTCTCAAAAATTCTTGGGACTAAACCTACCTTATATGTTATGCTTTAAACCACAAAGAAATTGCTGGCTTGAAAGTGGGTTTATTAATGCAATTAAACTTTAAGGTATGGCTGCATCAGTGCTTGTATCAATTTTTAGCACAGCCACATAACATCTTTGTGGTAGGATTATGGGTTCTAAGCCAAGTCTGCAGAGTAAGACTTCAGCTAAATCACTTTTAAATTAGAGATCCCCAGGTTAACTTCCTGGAAGATTTGCTTATCAGTTCTTATGTGATGCTTGAGAAGTGCTCTCTTCCCAAGCTCTTAAGTGGTTCTCCACACCGACTACACATTGGGATGTCCTGAGGAGTTTTAAATAAGCTGCTGAGATTCTGACATCACTTGTCTTAAGTGTGACCTGTGCATTGGATTTCTCAAAGCTCAGCTGGGATTGAGAACCACTGTTAAGGACTTCAACCAAGAATGCCTGGTTCCAGAAATCTCTTTAGGCCATCAGAATTTGTTGATCCCCTCATGTGGAATTTGTGTAATCATTGCCCATATTAGGGCTACACTTTGCACAGAACCTGGGCATCCTCTCCTGCTATTAGCAGCACCTCCATCACTGAGGAGCTAGTTGGAAACCTGGTCCTTCAGGCTGGTTTCCTGGAATGACCAAAACAGAAGCTGCATTTGCACAAGCTCCCAGGTGTTTCATCTGTACATGAAAGTTAAAGCAGCACAGCAAAGCGGCTTCAAGTTATGCACTTCTAGCAAGTTCCAGAAGTTCCAGATTCTGCTGGTCCTCAGGACACAGTACCAAGAACCTAAAGTGCGTTTTCTAAGTGTGGTCCAAAAACATTGTGAGGGAAGCTCATGCTGGATTTCACTGCAAACTTCCTGCATCAGCCTGCCTGGGAATCCTCTTTGTAACTGATTGCCTATTCCCAGGTGAGTCTTATTTACATGAAAGTCTGAGAACCACTGACCCATGTACAACCTTTTCCCAGGGTAGGAATCATTCTCTCCCTGAAAAGCAGCTTGAACCGACTGCATTTACCTTAATTAGTCCAGAGGAAAGAAACCTTTTATAACTCCCTCTTCCTTAAGCCTTGGGATGTCTGAAGCTAGTCTTCCTCCGCCCGCATGATCTTTACCATCAGGCTTCGGTGTCTGGACATTGCTCCCGTTTCTGTTTCTTGCTGCTTTGGCTATCTTCCACCTCCCCATGCCCAGACTGGAAACTTCTCTGTGGATCCATATTCCTCCATCAGCCCAAACCAGAGAAAATCTCCACATTGAGCAACACAACACAGAAATGGCACAATTACTGACTCTGATCAGTACTTTGTAATTTAAAAAATTATCTTATTTGAGAGATGACACATAAAGACACCCACATGGAGAGAGAGAGAGAGAAAAAAGAGAGAAACAGAGAGACAGAGAAAGAGAGATATCCCAACCACTGGTTCATTCCCCACATGCCTGCAACAGCCCCAGCTGGGAACCAAGGAACTCAGTCTGGGTCTCCCAAGTGGGTGGCAGAGACTCAGTTACGTGAGCCATCACCTACTGCCTCCCATGGTCTGCATTAGCAGGAAACTGCAGTTAGGAGTGCAGCTGGGTTTCAAACGCAGGCATTCTGATGTGGGATGTGATCTTTTCTGAAATTTAATCACCATGCCAAATGCCTGTGCTAGAACTTTGTGCTTTTAAATAACACAGATGAAGGTTGTACTTTTTTTTCCTTTCAAGATTTACTTGTTTGAAAGGCAGAGTTACAGATGGGGGGTGGGGGAAGATGTTCCATCTGCTGGTTGACTCCCCACATAGTCACAATGGCTGGGGTGGGGCCAGGCCAAAGCCAGGAGCCTGCTACTCCATCCAGGTGTCTCACATGCATGTCAGGGATCCAAATACTGGGACCATCATCTGCTGCTTTCTCAGGCACATTAGCAGAAGGCTGGATTGGAAGTGCAGCAGCTGAGGCTCCAACCAGTGCTGACATGGAATGCCAGCATCGCAGGCAGTGGATTAACCTGCTGTACCACGATGCTGGCCTTGGTTGCACTTGCTTATTAGTAAAGCTATATATTATATCATTTCAACATTGAACTTCTGTTTGACCACAATTCCTGTGGTCTTTCCCCAGGGGGCAGCAATAGCTCTCTCCCTATTCCTATATTTTGCAAGTATTTACTAAACTTGTGTATGGCATTTTACTTTTAATCCAGAGAAATCCAATAAACATGATCTCTGCCCATTACTTCAACTGAAAAAGGATTTCCCTTTGCTGGTCCTGAATGGAGAAAAACAGTCTTGGATTCAGGAGAAGACCAGGTTCAGGTCTCATCTCTCCAACTTTGGTAGAAAGACTGAAATGAGCTCCTTAGCCTTTACAAGTCTATTTTGTCCTCTGTAAAATGAGTATAATAACAGAAACTATTTTATAGGAAAGTTGTGAGATAAGGTAATATAAAAAGCACTTTGAACATTATAAAGCCATATATATAGGTTATTAATAAATCCATCCCCAAGCTACAAATAATCTGCAAACTTAAGAAAATAAAGCTGATTTATTTATTCATTTTTTTGACCCACACACAAAATAAGTGGCAGTCTTGAAATCCTCTGAAAAACAAAATCTGTCTCATCCACTACCGTCTCCCCCCATCCTTGTTTGCCTTCTCCTGTGACAGAGTTCCTGTCTTCTGTCGACAGAAGGAAATCTGGTGTGAGAACCAGTGAAGCCAGATGCCGGGGCAGTTCTCTAGAAACCAACCACACGCAAGTGGATGAAACCAAAAAACACTTGCATGTTGCTGACGTGGGTGTCAGCGTGTTCAGGCAGGGCTGAAAGAGGAACTTCAAATTGCTGAGGTTCTGCTTAGGGGGGGCATGCAATGAGTGATATGATACGAAACCTCACACCACATAAGGTCTCACCCTGCCTCACTTCCAGGAAAGCCCTTTGAAGTTACTCAGGGGCAACGAGGTTCATACGGAAGCCTGGGAACTTGCAAAGACCTTCCCATGAGTGGTTAATTTCCTAAATGGAAATTGCTAAGAACATACTCCAAGACCTTGTTACTAACTGAACTTCCCCATGCTCTCTTTCTACTTCCTAACCCTTCTTTCTTGCAACAGGCTCAACCTCAAAAACAAGAGCCTCAGGTTTAGCCCACAAGACTAGGACATGATTGTTAATTTTCAACAGAGTCCTTCTCTATGAACCTCCAGGTACCTTTCCAGAAACAAAGCTTTGCTAATTTGCACAATTTACAGATTAGAGATGCCAAGGGTTTTAGAGCAGACATATTTTCCATGGGATTACTCAAAAAGTTGTAACATGAGCACATGTATAAGGCAAGAAAGTAAAGGATTAAATATACTCAGAATACTCAAGTAACAAACACCTAATATTTATTAATAAATTAGTACACTTGAAGGCATTTTTCTGATCTCGTTCCCTCACCACAACCCACAAACCCCGCCCACACAGAGGGAGTGGACACCACCTTTGCATTAGAATCTGGCAACTGAGCATTAGAGGGTACGTTTATAAATGGGAGCATAGTTGCAAATATATCAGACAAAGGTTCTTACAGCTGCAGCCATTTTTAATTAAAGTGATTGAATCATGAAGGAAACCCACCAAGACCAAGACCTTGAAGGCAGGCTGCATCTATTGAGTATGTGTGTATAAAAAACAAGACATCTTTGAAAGCAAAGCTGGCAATTCTCTATGGAAAAGGTGCCAATGGCACTCAGTTTTACTTTCCAAAATGCAGCAATATGTTCCAGGACAGCTCACTCCCTAAAAGGTGAAGTTCAAGTTCTTTGGTGGCCCACTTGTCAAGCCACTTAAACAGCAAGTCCTGAAGCCTTGAGGATTTCATTTCTCCAGGCTAGTGCGTATTAGTGTAAGAGGAGCACAAGGAATCAAGCGTTCTACACAGTGTCCAGGTGAAAACCATACAATCAGCAACAGCAACAGTGGGGTCAAGTTTCAGCCATGAATATGAACTATACAACAAGACACAGTAAAAGGATAACTCAAGGCCTAATTGCATTACAGTAACTCAAGAGGAACTGAAGCTTCCTTAGTCCTTAAGAAAATTTGTAAAGGACAAATAATAATAGAAATAATGATAATAATAAAATAGGTGTGGAGATTGAGAGACATGAAGAGTGCTTATAGAATCACAAGATCTCATTACACTTTTAAGAAATTAAGAGCCTCGCGGTCCAGTGTGTACGAAAAGTCACACTGAATCGGCAGCAAGTGAAGTGAATTTAAAGTGCACAGGACAATTTTGAAAATGCCTAAGATGGCAAAACAGAGAAAATAAGGAACTTAAAAAAACATTAGTGGTGGGTATTTTGCAACAGTTACACCTTGAAAAGGTTTATAAACTAACTTCCCAGAAAAGTTTAACAAAAAAGAAGAGAAAAAACTCCAACACTGGCCATATTTTCTTTCTCTCTCTCTCTCTCTCTGACACACACACACACACACACACACATGCACACACCAAAAAGCAAAAATCAGAAACAAAAGAACCACCCTGCCACTAAATTGAGCAATTTCCAGAATGCAGTATCCCTAGGTTCTACAATAGGTCAGGAAGATGGCTATAAACAGAGTCCAGGAGGGTCTGGCTGGCTTCCTGGCTCTTGACTCCAATAATCTCGAACAGTCGATCCAGCTTGTCCTCAGCCTGGGGAATCTCTTCAATCACTCGCAGCTCCTCAGGATTCAGAATGTGGAGCATGTCATCAAAGATAGGCTGCAAGTCACAGGGGTCCAGGCGGACCTGCCGCAACACTGTGTCCTTCTTTTCTGTGGGAAAGACAGGCAAGGGATTGGGACAGTCAGAGGGAGGCGACAGTGGCAGGTGAGTGACATTTACCCTCCACCAAAATGAGCGAGCGAGTGACCCTCTGGTCACAGCACAAGAGTTTTTTACTTGAATTGCACAAAAGATGGCAAAGAAAGTTCTCCTACTGCAGACAAGGTTCTGCTGGGGTGGGCTGTTGATGTGTCACTAATGTGACATTTGCCTAGACTTGAGTGATTTCTAAATTCTGCTAAAACAGAGAATTTTGAATTGCTTAGAGAAACTTAAAAAAACAAAATACTTCTTTGCCCATCCACATTGTGGACATACAATCAGCCTATCTCTTTCCAAATGATTGACACTTCCAAGTGAATGCAGACTGCTTATCTGATTTTCTAATTACAATGCAATATTTTAAAACTAAATTACCAAGAGAGTAAAAGTCCATGAGTAAGAAAATAAAGCTTCTTGTGTCATACCTTAGTGAAGCAAGAAACTAGAACTTTTATTACTAATCATAAAACATTTTCTCTAAAATATAATATGTAATAAAATATAAATATTTATACAACTAGAAAAATAGGTGAAACATATATGTAGAGTATAAATTTATAAATTCTAACACATTTTATACAAATTTGTAAATTCTAGCATATTTTATAAACATAAACTGTGATCCTTGTACACGAAATGTAACTGGGGTTATTCAAACTAGGAAAAAAAAATCTGTCATCACCATAGTGTGCATGCTTATCTCTCCTCTGCTATTAATACTTAAAGTAGTCAATTATTTCCCAAAAATACCCAGTCCATAATATTTAGAACATTTTTATTTGCAATTTAACTTAACTGAGTAATTTTAGAGTCACTCTAAGTGATTAAAACATGTGCTGTACATCTGACTCTCAACATAGGTTATACCTTAAATCCTAGGATTCAAAGCAAGCCTGGTAAATAATTTTCAAAAAACCTGCCTGACTACATTTTATCAGACTTTTCCTGAAACACATTTGATAGCATCATCTGGATAAAGGGTGACCAGTACCTCTGCATGCCAGCTCTCACCAGGCAGCAGTCAGAGCTGTGAAGATTTTCTGGGTATGTCCTCACTGAGGGGTGATGCGGCTTCTGAGGCCAGCCTTATCTAGGTAGGTCTCCCAGGGCAAGTCATCGAAATGACTCAACCACACCCACACTGCAGGATTGGCCAGGGCAAAGCCCCAGAGCTGCCTTGGGGAACCCACCCTGAGCCATCTGTACCTTTGGTAATAAAGGAGCCGGTCCGACTCAGCGCTGAGGAGCCGCTGGATGTGGAGTCACAGCGCAGAAGGGGCTCGGACTCATCCACAAAGAAGCCCTTGTTCTTATCCAGGGGGGAGGGCTCCACCATCAGGAGAGTGGAATTCTCCAGTTTCGTGTTGGGACTGGGGATGGGGCTCGGGCTAAGCGGGCTGGGGCTCATTGGGAGAGCCAGTTTGTCGGTTTCCAGCTGTGGGAGGGAAAACAAAATTTATTACATACATCAAAAATTATATAGGGAAGACCACAGTGAAAACTCTTGACATTATTTCTTGGACATCTAGTGCTTTATAAATTCTCCAACTTCTCTCATCCGTAAGTATAAATGTTATTGTTAGATACACACAAAGACACAGTTTCCAACCCTTTAAAAATACATATGTGGCCATGTCTGAGTATGAAAACTCAGGAAGCAGGTGCACCAAGCCAGTGCACCACTCCAGGGTGGAGCTGCACCTGGGTGCGAGGAGACAGATGCTCGACTTAGAACATCGAAGTTTGTGAAGGCTGGGAGAGGTCTGAGGCCCTGAGGGTGGGCAGAGACACATACAGAGGGAGGCACTAATGAAGACACAGGGAGTGCAGCCATCCACAACCCAGAGAGGCCTCAGAGGTCAGGCATCCTACAGACACCTTGATCTACACTTCTCACACTGCCTTACTCTGGGACTTTGTCTCTGTTGTTCAAGAAACCCAGCTGGTGGTTCTCTGCTATTGCAGCTCCTGGCAACTAGTACACTCTCTCCCCACAGGTGGGAAGTGAAGTGACTTCTTAAGTAAGGGCCAACAGGAAGTGGCAGCACTCAAACCTGACCTGGGGTTTCCTGACTCCTATTTCAAACTACCTCTAGGGGGAGGGGGCACTGCTAAAAAGAATGAGAAAAGTGTTTTCAAGCTCAGCTGGGAAGAGAGAGTAAAAGGACCCCCAGCAGGAGGCAGTAGAGCAGCTCAAAGGGTACAAGGGGCCTGTGAGGCTGGGGGACAGAGGTCATCACCAGGAAGACAGAGAGCAAGAGGATTTCAGAGGCCAATGCTGAGCTTCACCACCATGCTGGCTGCTGTGTGAAGGGTGGATCTTGGAGAGGCAAGAATCGAAGCAGATCAGCTACCATGCTCCTATGTGGCCAAGTGAGGAACGATCCTGGCTTGTAGCAGGGGAGTGCAGAGATGGGGAAAGTGATAGGTGCTGAAACCCCATTTTACGGGTGAAATGACTGAGACCCAGAGTGGGCACACAACCGCTGGGAGAAAGCCAGTACTCAGCCTAGGTCTGTTTAACATCCCCACCTGGTTCTTTCACTTGAGAAAATACTTCAGAACCCTGGCAGACACTCTGATTCAGCTCCCTGCTAAATGTGCCTGGCAAAGTAGTGGAAGATGCCCAAGTACTTGGGCTCCCAGGAGACCTGGATGGAGTTCCAGGCTCCTGGCTTCGGCCTGACCCAGACCACACTGTTGTGGTCATTTGAGGAGTGGCCCTGTGGATGGAGGCTCTCTTTCTCTCATTCTCTCTCCTTTCTATTATTCTGCCTTTCAAATAAATAAACATTTTTTAAAGGGCTCAAGGATTCAGTACTGTGCACTCTTCCCAGGGCTGCTAATCACTACTCCTTGAAATGCCCATCACTCCACTTATGCACTTCAAGTGATACATTTTCAAGCTCTCGCACCAAGATCTCACTCCCATTTCAAAGTATTACAATGAACACTTATATAAGGCACAAACACAACTGCCATTTGCAACTTCCAAGGCCTGAGAAATTCTTATAACTGATTACAGATTGGAAAGACCAGTGAGGACTGCACACATCTAATGTTCTAACAGCGTTTTTCCTCTGAGCTACCACCCACACCCTGCTTCTGCTTTCAGTGGAGGTTTCAGACTTGCTTTTCCAGGGGTCCACTTCTGATCCACAGCAAGTTTCATGTGTAGGCATTTAAAATTTCAATTCAGCAGACCCTGGCATGTGCCCCTCCTCCCTGAAAATGCACATGGTCATTGGTGCCAACCCACTTTTATTCACTCAACCAGACAAAGTGCACTTGTCTATATTCCGGTTCTCATGGACATTACACTGGAAGATGTGGTCAGTCAGTATAGTGTACTGTTCTTGCTTTAAAAAATCCCACCCACATATCACATGCCAACAGACTAAGGAGTCCACCCACGCATTTCCTGAACTTGTTTCAAAACGTTTCAAAACACTAAATATTTAATCCCTCCCCCAACCCAGTCAATTTTTTTAGGACTTCTTATCAGTGGAAATGAATATCACATGGTTTCTAACATAAACTGGAAAGAGAGAATGCTGAACTGATGGTCTTCTGTATTTAACAATGAGTCAAGTGAATTTAAAATGCCCCTACAAGCATAGCTAAAGCCCGAGGCCATTTGACAATCATCTTTCTAGAAAATCTACTCAGTTATTAAGTATATATCTCCCTCACTTTGTACAATGGCAGATCATTGCATTCCAAATGTGTCTAAAGCTACTTGCATTTTTCCCAAAAGAAGCAAAATTGGCTCAGAGAAGCTGACTTCATTCCCCCTGTACCTTAATATTTTCAATACCCACGAAAATTGCTTTCCTACACTGCGACTGTGTTAGGCGTGTGTTGCCTGTGACCTCTTTCTAATCAGAAAATTGAGTCACTACACTATGTGGAGTAAATTCTTAATTTTATTAATTCTGAAAGGTCACGGGTTCAGTATTCTGAGTTTATAGCAAATGAAGAACATCTATTCCAAGATTAGATACGAAAGGACAAATACTCTAAACAAGAAAGCAGATCTCCCCAGAAGAGGGTCTTATCTTCTCACAAAAGCTTTGAGTCCAAACTTAGTCAAACAGTCTCAAAGAACAGCAACATGATTTATCCCTGCAGTTTCTTTGAGCTTTCCAAATTCTCTATGGGGACATATTAACTTTTATAATTAGAAAAACAAGAGATGTTATTTTTAAAAGCAGTAACCACTGATAAGTATATCTTCCTCTGCTAATTTGAAAATGTTATGGCCACAACAGTTTTTATTTACATTGGCAGCCAAGAAACAGGCCAACTGGAAAATCACTGGTGAGGCTGAGTTCCTCTCTATACTTGTGTTAAGCGGTCCTAGATGCAACAGTGTTCATACAAGCTGACTTCAAAAACTTCACGGAAAATGGAATTAAAAGATAAGGTTAATTTTGGTACAACAATGTTTTGAAGGGCTGGCACTGTGGCACAGAGGTTAAGCTGCTGACTACGATGCAGGCATCCCTTATCAGAGTGCTAGTATGAATCCTGGCTGCTTCACTTCTTTTTTTGATTTTATTTATTTGTTTAAGAGGCAGAGCTACAGACAGAGAGAGGGAGAGACAGAGAGAAAGGTCTTCCATCCGCTGGTTCATTCCCCAAACGGGAGCTTTCTTGGGGTTTCCAATGCAGGTGCAGGGGCCCAAGCACTTGGGCTGTCTTCTACTGCTTTCCCAGGACATAAGCAGAGAGCTGGATCAGAAGAGCAGCGGGGACATGAACCTGCACACCCATATGGGATTCTGGCACCACAGGCGGAGGCTTAGCCTACTAAGCCACAGCGCCATCCCCTGTTCCATTTCTGATCCAGCTCCCTGCTACTTCACCTGGGAAAGCAGAGCATGGTCCAAGTGCTTGGGCTTCTGCCATCCATGTGGGAGACCCGGATGGAGTTCCAGGCTCCTGGTTTCTCCACTGGCCCAGCCCTGCCTGTAATGGCCATTTGGGGAGTGAACCAGAGGATGGAAGATTTCTCTCTCTCTCTCTGTCTCTCCCTATCTTTCTGTCACTCTGCCTTTCAAATAAACAAAATAAATCTTAAAAAAATTTTTTTTGAAATCCATGCAAGGGGTCCTCAGCAAGCTCATGGGAAATGTGTGTTATAAAAGAAAAAATATACCCATACATCTTTATTTTTGGCATAGAAATAAACTTAGCAGTTAATTACATTTTCCACAAACTTTTCAAAGTGTCCTAGTACACACCCCCACTTTACTGGAGTGAGGCAGATAGTAGGACGTAAAAGAAAGGCTTCTGGGAAACTTGACAGGTCAAGGACATGCACTACCAGATATCTGAGCCCCTTTGGAGAAACTTGGAAACTATGGTTTCTTCACTTTATAACCATAAGGTAATCATGTTAACTTGGAAGACTCATTTGAGAAATGAGGTGGAGACAGTTAAGACAGACCAAAAATAAGGAGAGAGCTCTCCAAGTAGCCAAAGCCAGAAGAGTTCTATTGTGTGAACTTCAAGAGCATGCAGTTTCTTTTGGCCAAATGTCCTCCTGATCAGTATCCATGCGAGTACACATAGTCTTTCCAGATATTTATTAGCCCAAGCTGATACGGGAAGGGAAATGAATGGTCCTGCTACTCAACAGTTGTGTCACACCAATAGCTCCTCGCACAACCTATTTTCCTTTCATGGTGCCAGAATGGAGGACAAAGAGCCAAGCAAATGACTTAGATAAATGGAGTGTTGCTTGAAATCGGAGGATTTGAACATCTCTAGGCTACTGAGGTTTATAGCAACATTTGTGAGACAATGGTTTAACTTGTATTTGAGCTATACCAGAATGAGCACGCCTTCATTTTTTCCTTTCACCAGCTGTGTGATTGTAAGGCCCACATTTCCACTGCAACCAGATATCTAAATTCAAAGTGTCCACTCTAAGTACTCATCCAAATCATAACTGGAAACTGAAGCTCAAAAATAATTCTCCATTTTTTAAAAACAGTATTTATTTCATTTATTTGAGGGAAAAGACTTATAGAGACTGAGACATGGAAACATGGACACACACACACACACACACACACACGCACACAGATTGAAAGAGACTTTCCATCCACTGGTTGGCTCCACAGACGCCATACAGAAATGGCTGGGGCTGGGCCAGGTGGAAGTCAGGAGCTCAGAACTCAGTCCAGGTCTCCGACATTGATGGCAGAGTGATCACTCTCTACCTTCCAGGATCTGCTTCAGCAGGAAGCTGGAATTGGGAGCCGAGTGAGGACTGGAACACAGGCATTTTGATGTGACACACGGGTGTCCCAAGTGACTTCTTCACTATTGCATCAGGTGCCCGAACTAATAATTCTCCACTTCCAATATCAAACTGCAGTCACTTCCCTGTTGACTAGCCCTGTCTGAGATGACACATTGTAGCAG